AGAACTATGGCCAACCCATTTGTGGCTGTAGTTCTCTTTTGGGTCACAGGAAGAAATTTACCAATATCCACCTGTGACCCAAAACTCAGCATTTAGTGGACTATTGCCTTATATTTGCTGGCAGCGCAGAGTTGCGATGCAGCCGGGAAGTATCCAGACAATATTGCCAGGATCCACCCAGCCTTTTGATTAACAGCTGGCTCGGCCCCTCTAGAGCCAGAGCTGGCAGTGCCCACCTTCTCCCCTGCCCATCCCTCCAGTCAGCACTGAAGGACTAGAGAGGGGAGGGGGGAATCCCTGTGGGTTGTAGTGACTGACCGTCACTGCTTTCTGCAGGGAGAAGATGCTGAGCCGAGTGATCAGCGGTATGCGATTGCTCAGTTTTTGAACTACAGACTATGTGGGTATTTCACTCTCCCCATAGCTCTCATTTAAAATATTCATGCGTTTTGTTTAAACTTAAAGCCACACTGTGTACAGAACATGACACCCCTCCAACCCATCCTATGATGTTTTCATTTTTTCTTACTTTGTAAGGCAAGTTATACCTACCCAAGTCCCCCCTGCAGGTCTCTTGCAAGTGTAGTTTCCAAGTGCTAGGGAACCGCCAACCCGGCCCTACAGATGATGCATTGCCAGCCAGTCCCCTACCATTCCCTTGCGATTACATCACTCCTTCTGGATCCTGAGAAGACCCCACAGCTGGGCAGCCAATAGAAAGTGTCCACATGATGCAGGCAGTGACCTGGACATTTGATAGAGGACCCCACAGGAAGTAAACAAAGGAAGATGGAAGACTTGGGACCCGAGCATCAAGTGTTTAGGCTAGGTAAAAACACCATTTAGACAGTTGTAGGGGGGGTTAAATTATCCTGCAGAAGGGCTTTAAATTTGTAATTGCTCTATACTAATATGCATGAAAAAAAAAATTCACATTGTTCCCTTGATTCAAATTAGACATCTTTATTAATGTGGGCTGTTACACTGTATGACCATGAGCTGCAAAAAAGAAACTCACTCAACTCCCTCATCCACGTTATAGAGCGTGGATGGAGGAATCTCCCTTGTTGTCTATTGTAATCTGAAGAGGGGAAAAAAAAAAAAAAGGAAAAAAAAAAGGAGGGCCAACAACAGAATGGATTTCAGGCGGTTCATCAAAGAATCAGAGTAAATGCAAGCAGTGTAGGCCAGCCTTATTGAGCTCACACTAATTGATTACTAGTTCATGCACTTGCATGCAGTGAATGTCAGGAAGGTTCTTCTTACAAATGTCATTAGAGAAATAGTTACGACATTGGTAACGGAACATCCATTGGAAATCAGAAGTGCATTCAAAACTGGGGTACCAAATATTTTAAAAAAACAACAAACAAAAAACAAAAACAGTTCTGTTCTTGCTGAACGCATGCTCTAGTTGGAAAGAAATCTCACACCCCTACAATACTGGTTTACTGATGGGTCTAGAGGTTCAGTCCTGGTGCCTAGATACTGAGAACTGTAGAATATAAATGACAAAACATGCACACGTGTATTTGTCAATATCCGATATGAATAGTCGCCTTTGCACTTTACACACTTCATCTTAGACATTCCTGTTACAGTAGATACAACTGCTGAACATGACAGGCATACAAAGACATGAAACAAGTCATTCTATCCTCTTGTGGCTTTAAACCATCTGTTGGTGTAACAAGCTTCCCTGGGAAATGCAAACCAAACACAACACGCAAGTCATCTTGCAGCACCACAAGCAAGAAGTCATAATAAAATTGTTCTTACACCCTATTCAACGCCTGTTGATGCCTCTTCCTTATTAAAGAATATGAATGGTCAATCTTCTGTCAAGTTTTTGTTGCCGTCTGTCCGCCTGTGGAGATTTGACCTCTCACATTGTCCTAGCGGAGAAATAAAGTGAAGGGAAATCCTGAGTTGTCACCAGAATAAGAGGTGAGGGTTAATTATCCAATGGAGACAACTGTTCTGGTGAAGAAATTTCCTCTCACCTTGTAAAGATTTTCTCTCCCTTTCTGTTGTCTATATGAACAGGAAATGAAGGTTAATCTCTCCAATGAAAAGCACCCAGCAAACATAACAAAACCCAAACTAAAACAGTCATCAGATTAACTGATGTGCAAACTAAAGTGAGAAATTGCTGATGCCAACACTGTCTGTTATACATAACAGATATAAAATAAGTTGTTAATATCCCGATTAAAACCAGAGAACCTGCTAACGCTTCAATACATGATAGTCAGAAGATCGGGAATTTTATTTAAAAGCTTTTTTTTTAAAGTATAAAATATGACTCCAAATAAAAACAGAAGTAAAGCAGAACTCCAGCTATTTTTTTATAAAGGCTGTGGGGTTCAGTGGACTTGCAAATAAGAATAAAAAAGAAAAATCCTGGAGTTAACCTTCTCTTACATGTACTAGGAAAGAGGCGTTTGTCTGTCTATGGGACAGTGCCAGGGTAAGGTCATCAGGGCCTAGGGTGAAGATGCCAAACTATGCCCCTCAAAAATCAACCCCCTTCCCCTGCATTGAGCTTCAATGGTAGATGTCAAAAATGCAACCCTCCCAATAGCCCGCCACCCTCCTGGGGCAGGCCAATCATCTTCTGGAGCCGAGATCCCACTTCCAGCTCCTGCCTCGCTCATTTCAGCATCACTGCGCAGTTCCGGGTCCAGCAATCAGGTTTCACATGGACTTGGATGTGTGCAGGGATGCCGTTTTGTATATAGTGCCACACCGCCCAGAGGCAAATCAAAATGCAGGGCACACATGCAGGGCTGCCATTAGAAATCATGGAACCCTGTACAGCCTACCCGACAGGGCCCCTTTGATGACCCAATGGAGCCTGGTACCCCCACATCAGTGACAGTGCGTGTGGGCCAAAACAGTAAATGTTACTGGGGACCATGGCACACGGCATTTACAGCAGTGTCTTGGGCAAAATGAGATCTTGTGCACCACACATCCTCCAGAGAGGCAATAAGACCTCTAATCAAAATAAGAGTCAATGGTGAGAGAACGTTCTCTGAAACCAGAGGCACTGTTAGGGATCTATAAGACTCAGGCCACCCCTACAGAGTAAAGAGTTGCAGCAAAGGTTGCTTTGGGTAGTTGAATATTACTGCTACTTGCATTTTCTTATCTGCTAAGAGTTTAGCAGCGAGTAGCACCAATCATAATCACATTGTTCCTTTTGGGCTACAAAAACTGATAATAAACGCGAGTTGGATAAAATGACCTCATCTTTGTGCCTTCAGATACTATCACGTGGGGTTGAGGACAGAAAACTATTGTTTACACATAAAACTTAACTGCCTCACCTTAACAATAACCCAAACATGTCACAGAAAACGTGACAGTCATTAAAGATATGCAACAGCTCCTCTTTTTACAAACGGCTACAAATGGGAAAGAAAAACATTACTGTCCTTTTACCATACATGACAGTACAAAACCTGTTATCAAACAACATGGGGGCTCCAAGTGCTGACCTCTCCTTCTGATAATGCCAAGTTCCTGGCTGTTGTGCAGATGCTTCAGCTTATTCTTCCCATTTGCTTCAAGCAAAAGATACTCCGATACCAATGATAGCCAGGCAGCTAGAATTTTAGGACAGCAGCAACAGAAAACCCCATTGTTCTCTCATTACAGGTGTTACGCAAGGCTTACCAAATCATGGATGGCAAGCAGTTCTCTAAAATAAATTAAATTTCATCAGATGCCAAAAAATGTATGCAAAATATCGCATACATGCTATAAATTGCCAAATCACTATAAAAAAAACCACAGCAACTTCCATTGCTGACCTGTTTTGAAAGGTGCAAGCTCTTTTTAAACTGCATGCTAATTTCAGACCTCCAACATACTGATTAATAAAGCAAGGATAAGGATGATGGTCCTGGAGACTACACCTACATAAAAAGTTAGCAACCACAGCTCCTATACCCCTATCATAACATGTTCCTTTAAAAAAGAGGAACCCTCATCTTTAAAATGACAATAAAGACACCTTTAGAAAAGCATCCAA